GAGAGAGAGAGAGAGAGAGAGAGAGAGAGAGAAAATAGAGGACGAATAAAGACAGGATGGACTCTCTGTTGGACTTTACCTTTCCGCTTATTCTCCGCGCTTTCAGCGGCGCACATTCACTGTGGCACTGTCGTAAATCAATTATCGTCGCACCACCATGAACAGATACCAGAGGATTTTTCACTCGACCCGTTGATCCACCCACTCCTAAATTTATTTCGCCGTATCTCGACCGTGACTGAGAGATTCACAAAAAAAAAAAAAAAAAAAGAACGCTACTCTGTAATTAAAAAGAAAATCGAGAGAAAGGTAAGACACGATGATTTTTATCGTCAAAAATATAAATTTCCGACAAAAAACGTATTGCGCGTAATATTAAAAAGCAAGTAGAAACTATTATTATTACCATGCGCGGCGGACAACTGGCACTGAAAATTTATTGGTTGAGTTTTTTTTTTTTCTTTCGTCTTTATCGCTCGCGTAAAATGGAGTAATTCTGCATGCGCAACGGAGCACGTATTTTTACAAATGTTGACTATTTTTCAAACGTGTACGTGAACAGAAAGATGAATATATGTGTAACGATATAATATAAAATAGAAAAAAACATTTTATTATAAAATATGCAAGTTTCTCTCTTTCTCTGTTTCAGCACACGTTTTTTGTTTTTATTTTCGAACACACACGAATGAATAAAAAAACTAACTTATCATTTTATTCTCCATTGTTTATTTTATGTATTACGTGAAAAGATTTGGTTAAAGTTCACGGATCACATAATTACGCATTTAAATAACACATGGTAATTAAGCAAACATTTCACGTCCTCTCTCTCTTTCTCTTTTTCTCTCTCTCGTTTCAAGAAACATGTGACGCTTGTGTCGTCATCGGAAACGGTTCGAGAAAAAGCGTATTTTTTGCATCGTACCGCACAATATTTGCATGATATATTGCTTTATATTTTCCCTCGAACGAAGAAATATGACGCCGAGGCTGTTTTATTCTTTGTCAGACGCAGAAATCGCTTATTATCGCAAGATTATTCCGCGTGTAACGTCGTCGTTTGATCGTCGCGCGAATCGTAAATCTAAATGCGGAATATTGCACGCGAGGAGTCATGTGCATCGCACGTCACGTCTGTCTCCGTTGGACGTGCGCGCGGTGGTCCTATCATGGTTAACTGACGATGCCGTATATTTCATTCGGCTCTGTTGGAGCAGGATAATAAATTTACTTAACTACCTTTCGTCGGCGGTTTCGCCTGTTGTCGTAAGCGAGACGCTTCGCGCGCGTTGTAACACGAGACACGTCTCGTTCCCGTTGGTACGTGGTCCTCTCCTGTAACCGCAATTCCGGTGCTCGAGAGAGAGGGAGGAGATATGTAAAAATAGGACAAATTAAACCGCGGCCGACAACAGGCAAATCCTTCTCAGAAATTTGACGCGACGATCTTAGAAATTTCGCGAAATATATTCCTCATTAACTCTCGGATGACGGATGACGCTGTAAGCAATTAATTTGTTTAACTCGTTATCCGTCTTCTTCTTGAAGAAGATCTTCCGACCGGTTTAAATAAATGTTCGAAATTAATTCGGTAATATTAGTAAATTTTATTAAACACTTAAATCAAACACCTGATTGTACAATACTGTCTTTTATACTCAGAAATCTTCTAAGTCGCGAAAAGTAAGTTGTAACGAGATCACCGCTATGACTCAAAGCTGCTAACTCGCTCGACTTCTCAAATATGAATACGCTGTCGATTCCTGCTCGCAGGAAGAACCGCCGTTTCGAAGGTTCTGGATTAGCTTGTCATGACTGCGCCATGTGACGCTCATCCTTCGATCACATGTTAAGTATCTAGTGACTCTACCGAGTACCAACCTTTAGACGCGATAATGGCGCTGTCATTGCAGAAATCGCTTACAACGCGTTAAAAATTATCAACCGAGAGAAGAGAGATACAATTCTGTAAGAAATTTTCATGCGGCGCTAAGGTATGCGAGCAGCCAAGCACGAGGTGCCTGCGTGCACGCTTTATTCTGTATCGGCAGTTTGGCGGCGACACTTGCCGGGTGATCGATCGGCCCTTCGATATATTAACCAATCGAAGAAACCCGCGTGGTTACCGGAAGGCACGTGGTAATCAGAAGATTCGGGAAAGCTCTGGAATTTTCGCTGCGGGTAGATGTGCCGGCGAATTTCGGAGCTCAGAGACACTTGTTCCGAAAGGCAAACTGTACGGACGCTCTTAAGACTAGTGGTTATAACGATCCGTATCGTGCTTGTGCGCGTATAATCTTGTCGGGCCGGAGATTAATTATATTACTCCGTGGCTGTATAAAACTTGCACGTAATATAAAGGAAATTGTAAGCATCTTATTTTTGATTATTTCGTTCTCTGATTTATTTCGTTTCCTTTCCTAATTTCCGTACGTTAAACATACGGTCGTGCCGAAGGTCGTGACGGTAAACAGTTATCGGTATATTATAATTGCCGAAGGACAAATAGACGAATACCGGGTCGAATAAATAAGCATACGTGGTCGAAATCAAGACGGTTATATTTGAAATTCTCTCGAACTTTACAGTCGTATTTCTTACAATTCTTTGTAGTGTTTTTGTCAAACGCGCTTCTTACATAGATTTTGGGAAAAATATAAATTCGCAAACTTCGTGTGGTATTTTTCTCCCGTGAAGAGAAAGGACGTGTTTCGGCGAATGATTAATTTACAAGACGAATTTTGTTTCGACAAAAAAAAAAAGAACGCGTGATATTGAAAAATTGAATATTTAATCTAAGTTTTAACGGTGCAACATTAATTAAGCAGCCTACATATTGCACGAAGTAAGAATTTGCGCGAAAAATCACACGAAATATTTCGCTCTCCGTCAGTCAAATTGTGTTTTCGCGAGTAGTGAAAATTTGTTATCTGAAAAACAAGTTCTATGCAGGAACGAAAAAACTCGCGCAACATACGCGAGTGTATAGGTACAGCGCGTGTGTGTGTGTACGTATTTTTTTTTAACGTTTGCGAAAAAATGTTTCTTGACGAACAGTTTTGCGATCGCTTTGCGCGCGCGCGCGCGAGGCTTAAAAGCTGCCAAAAACTTTTTTTCACGATGTTATCGCGGGTCTTGGCAGAGAAGCAGTACATACAAAACTTAAAAAGGTTTTTTTTTTTCGGGAGGGAGAGCACGTGTATTACTTTTCGCGCACGTGTACGCGTTCGTGTCGATAAGCACATTTATTTCGTTACACGAGTATCACATTGTGCGCGACCTAGTTGTTCGAAAATTATTTCCGTGTCACTTGAGTTTTTTCCGAAACAAATTCGTACGTATATGCCTCAATCCTCTCATAAAGTAACTTCGGACAAAAACCATGGAAAGGGAGGAACGGTTAGGAGCCAGAGGAAAAAAGCTGCCTCGCGTATCGCGCGATTGCGCGCCGTCGCGCGTGGAATTTATTTTCCCTCGAGGCGAGAGAGGCGCATTATCCGGGACGTGTCAGACTACATCTCGGGCTATCCTTCATTCGGATTTGTGTGTCGGACTAATTACAATATCACGCACGCCCACCGCGCGCACCAATCGATTCGCCCCGCGGCGATTTTTATTTCCGCGCGGCGGATGGGCCGCGTGGGCGACCGACGATAAATCACAGAAGAAACCAACGGACCAATAAAATTGCATTTCACGCTCGTGGTGCGCGAGATGCGCGCGTGCACGTTACGCGAACCGCGCGCGCGCGTTAATTCCTCCCGGCTTTGTGTTGTGCGGTACGGGAAGAGAGCGTGTGGATTATATAATGCGAAATTAAACGATGCACATTAGCGAGGGAAAGCGATCAAAGCTTCCCCTTTACAGTCAATCGGAACGACCACATCGTTCGAGTTTGGTGGTCAATGGCACGAGATCAAGGATCTCAGCCAGAAAGCGGCGAGGATAATCGAACAATTTTTTTCTTCCGGACTAACACGTTTTTGTCAGTTTTTTTTTTTTTTTTTTTTACTTTTCATATAGACAGTATTTTTTAACGAGAGTATAAAATTTTGCGCGCGCGCGCGTGGGAGCTGTAAATATAGCTAGAGGTAAAATTTTGAAAGAGGTCCAAGTTGTGTTCGAGTTGTAAGCTTTTCCTCTGTGGATTAAATTTCGCGTTGTTCAGTCAAAGAACACAGTACGTGGGGGGGGGTGGGGGGGCGAGATGTACCATTCACAAAGCACATCCACGAGCAAATGAAATTTCATTGGACGTAGCGAATTTCACTCACCGACGGGGAACACCCGTCCGCGTCGATCCGCCCCGTCGTCGTCTCGCCGTCACCATGTTTGCAAGAGACATGTACGATTCGATATATCGTTTGGACTCGACTCCCGTGGTTCGTAGAGACGCGCTTGTGTTTTACAAGCAAGAGAAAAGCGGCCACACACAGCAGCGATCGTAAATCTGTAATTTTAGCACGAGCGACTGTGATGCGCAACGTGTACGTAGATACGTGCGATATCGCGAGAGAGGCTATATTAGCATAAACCACTAACACATAGTAAATCAACGGCAAACATGATTACTAATACGGTTTGACTTAACCAGACAATTTACCTTGCTCGAAGCCGCATGATTTAACGTCTCAAATCACAGACGTGAGTTTGTTGAATTATTTTTAGTTTTTATGCGCACACACACATGTGTGTACTATTTGCTTCAAATAACCCGCAGATATGTTTGAGCGCGCGAGCACCGATCGTTTAATAATTCCACTTTGTGAGATTGCGACGTCTTGGATTTAAATTTGTCGATAACAAATTGTTTCGCGAAAATATTATCCAAAAACCAATAAAAATGATCTTTATTATTATTTTGACGCTACTTTTATTGTTTTTGTGTGATTAACAACATCAAGGATGTTTAATGGCACGAACGTAACAGAAAAATTATATACGAAAAGAGAACGTTCCACCGATTGTGTTTTGCAGCAATATCTTTTGATTTGCAGGTGACGAATTTCAGTATCGAACATCTGGCTTTACGTCCCGAGGGACACACAGACTGGGAGTAAGGATGGCCTTTCACTGGGATAAGCTCTCGCCAGGAGAATTTCAACAACTTCAGGATTTGGCAGCTTGTAAGTAGAAGAGAGAGAGAGAGAAAAAAACAAAAAAAGCAGGAAGAGGAAGCGCGGGAACGTGTAAAATAACGCGGATAAGTCGCTTCGAACGGTCGCTCCGCTCAATGACGTTCTACTCGTGTGAATTTTTTACAGGTCATAAATTCTAAAATACATGTTGCTAATGAAGTTTGCCCAACTTTAACTCGACTTTGCACACTGGCTAAAATTTATACGAGCAACTTTACTACACCTGCTCTCTCGATCTTTACGTTAAACGCTATTATTAATTAGCGGGCATTTGAGAAGAGGATTCTCAAGACTTCTTAAATTAACTATGGACTTTCGAGAGATATCACAAAGAATTCTTTGACAAACAAGTTATATCAATTCGTTTCAACGAATTTTTCTTTCTAATTTTCGACGAAAAAATTATGTTCGCGCGTCTCCACTTATAATTAGCAGCGGCCAGGTACAGACCATTTCACGAAGCGAATCACGAATTGAGCGCGTGACCTAATTTTATTCATCATCAAACGCACAATAGCCTCGAACACGCGCGTGCGCGTGTGTTAATTACGAAAAAAAAATTTTTTCGCGGTGCTTGTTGCGTACCGTAAAAATAATTCCGCTGGAAGTTGGAAAAATAGATCGGCGGCCGCGCGACTATCACGCGAATTAAATTATTGGCAAACAACAATGACATTGCCTCGTTACCGTTCAGAGCGTACGTAATAAGTTAGAACACGCGCGAAAAACTGATCTTTCAGCAGAGAATTGGCATTCAAGTTAGACTTGACATCACTTTAGCGGATTTATATCTCTCTGGCGGTATATAATAATAATAATATTGTATGACATCAAACGTTGCGAAATAAACAATCTCTTGCAAAATTAGACGCGGCGGCCGGTATACGTATACGTACTCGCGAATTGCCATATTCTGTGTACCGCCGGAACCCCGTGCGCGATTCTAGCAAAAAGCTCTCTGGCACCTTGCCGAAAACCGCGTTTTCTTTCCGACGTGATCACACAAGCGGTTCGCTTTTGTGATGTGCGCACCGCAGAATAAAACGGTTAGTTTCTCAGAACGAATCAACTCCGCGATTCTCTCGATTGTGCGCGCATACATTATACAACAACGACGTTACGACGCTCGTTGTACACGATTAAAATAAATCCTCTAAATTATATCGGGTATATAATAACGAGAGCACGTTGAGAAAACAAAGTTGGCGAAGTAACAAAATAGTATTCGATTCAACTATATGCAGCGGTTTAGGGCTGTCAATAAAATATTGATTAATGCAAGAAGATATCATGTTTCAATAGATATAACAATTAGACAAAGTTAAAGACGAGATGTAGCCTCCGACTCTTATTGGTAATTCTAAAGTAAAAAAGTAGTGTAAAGGGCGATGATAGAGTCAATGCAGAAAGACGCGCATAAATAAATAATACATAGAAATATGCAGTTGAAAAACGTTCCGACTATATTTTTAAGTCCTTATCAATTTCTACAAATAAACAAATATTAGAATGTATTGAAGGATAACCAGACACACAGTACGTACCATAAAATTAATACAATATAAAGTAGTCATATGCATGTGTAAAAGTTAAAGAAAATCCATTCACAAACAAAAACAAAGCAAAAACAAAAGTGAAGTCGAATATAGTCGAAACGTTTTTCAACTGCATATTTCTATGTATTATTTATTTATGCACGTCTTCCTGCATTGACTCTATCATCGCCCTTTACACTACTTTTTTACTTTGGAATTATAATAATTAGATTATACCGAAAGACAATTTAGTTGTTTTAACGAAATTATAATTTGCTTAAATACAGGTAACTTTGAATGTACAACACAATAGGACAGCAGACAATATTTTGTCTGCTTATAAAAATAAGCAGTTTGATTAAATGAAAAATACTTGGTACAAAGAAATTCAGATTATATTCAATTAAAGTAAATGAGAATTGCCTATTTCATCTTTTTTAACAGTATCTTTTGTTTGAAATTATCACAACTTATGTTCGACGAAACAATCCATGGTTTAGTGAATTAAATATGTTCGTTACCACTATTGTTAATTCAACTTATACAAATTTGTTATCTTTATTACCATATGCTTGAATTAAAAAAACAAGATATTTCAGATAACAAACTGAAACTCAACTAAACGCATTTAGTTGAGTTAATAGTATTTTTTTCTCAGTGCACTAATTTTAATTACCCACAGATAAACGCTTTGACTCGAGATTCAATATAATTGAAATGAGATGATAATTTCACTTTGCGCGCTACGATTGAAACGAGAGACTCAACTCAGCCGCCGATGAAGAAATTCGTGTTTTACGTTCTGAAATTATTAAGAACATATCAAACACGTGTGCGCAATGCGAATACTCGAGGAAAGAAGAAGCACCGACAATTTACCGTTTCTCTTCGTGTGAGAGAAACTTCATGTAGATATTTTAATAAATAATTAATAAATAATAAATAGTTTAGAAAAAACACACACAGAAATTGTGTGTTAAAACTTTTTTGATTTGAATGAAAGATTCGCACGCGAGTGCAAAATATATAAAATTTACGATAATTTTCTGACACTTTTGTGTGCGAAAGACGCGAATAATTCTTCTCTTTAGCGGATAAAACATGATTGCCAGAGATTCTCGAGAAATTCCTCGCCGCGCGGCTTGCGAAAGAATTGAAGAATTAAAACAAACCCGTGTGTGTGTGTGTGTGTGTAAAATCCCGTTTTGTTACATAATCTCGCTGATGTAACAGATTCGAACGTTGAAATTCATATCGTTCCATCGAACGTCGTGTATATTTCCGCGCGAATTTGTCCGTCTCGCGCATTTTCCGCGTCTCGATCGCGGAAGTTTGACGTCGCACAGGTGTCTTGTCGTCTAATATTTTACATCTTGCTGTGCGACGGTTGGTGTCGCAGTCGTCTAACAACACATCTCTCGAGAACACGCGCGACGTTCACGCGAGGAAGCGTTAATTTATTATGCGGCGCTTGCACTTCGTCCTACACACGTACGCACGCACACACAAACACACACACACACATACACGCAAACGCAAACGGTTTAAATTGCTGCTGTTTATCGACAAATTTGCTTTATCAGCACTACAGTGCAATTGTCATTCGATGCGATACTTGTTTTTCATTTATATAAAATATATAGAACAATATTTTGCGAGAGATATCAGTGCACTGTGATACGAGAAGATTTAAAAAAAAAAAAAAAAAAAAAAAAAAACACAGCCTAAGGAATTGTTAATATACGTCGCATTTGTTTTATTTAAACTAAACAAAAAATATCTTGTTTTTTAAAATAAAAAAATACTCATGTAATACGAATATCAAGTAGATACGGATTAATTTGTTTATCTTTATNAAAAAAAAAAAAAAAAAAAAAAAACAGAGCCGAATGAATTGTGAATATACGTCACATTTGTTTTAATTAAACTAAACAAAAAATATCTTGTTTTTTAAAATAAAAAAATACTCATGTAATACGAATATCAAGTAGATACGGATTAATTTGTTTATCTTTATGAGATATTTTTGTTCACTCGATATTGTTATTATATGTGATTCGCTCAATATTGATGTTGTGAAATTTATACATACATCTCATCTTTCTCTCGACAAAAAAAATCCAACAGAGTCAAATGCGTCCGGCTTCGCGCACGAAATTGCCTATTTGCGCAAACATTCTTCTATTGTGAAGCGATCGTTCAATATTTGCCAACAATTGGCAAAGCCGTCTTTAAAGCGGAAACGTGAAATTTCTTGCTGGATGTGTTAATCATTTACCCGTCGGAATACGAATCTCCATCGTGTGGCGGCCGTCAATCGGCTCGAAAATAGTAGCCGCCTAAAAATATCTTGGCCCGTTAAGTGCATTATGACGTCGGTACGATAGATTAGGCCGATGGCCTCCTATTATTAGTCAATTTATCGTTGCTGTTTCTTCTGTAAACAGTTGAATCCCGGTTAGGTCGATCGATCGATTCATTTCTCTTTCTAATCCAACAGGAACGACGAAAGAATTCGCGTGTCTAATTACTCCACGCGTGTTCTTAATAAAAACTTTCTCACGATTAATTACGAAACGCGTGTGCGTTTGTTGAGAAAATTTCATCTCACGTTTGTTTTGTTATAAATATTATTTAGTCGTTTAACTAATATTTTGCTGCAAAAACAGAGATTGTGAATTATTTATTTGATTGAGAAAAAGAACTATCAAATGTTTTGAGATATATAGTTTCTTTCGTCAAGACAATTTTTGCTTCTGTACATACGATCGTAGAATCACGAACATTGAATCGAACAGAACGAATTTTATAATTTCGCTTATTTCTTTTCTAGATTCCACACGGAAACTCCAGGATGTTCTGGCCGAATTTTGCGGGAGCAACACGACGCCGAGCGGTGTGCCGAAATATCAGCCGGACGGAGTGAGTCATAAAGATTGTATTTTACGCCCGTGGCCGATAAGATATACGCGCGCATCTGAAATCTAAAGGAAATATTTTCCGTATGAAAAAAAAAATATATTTTTTTATTGAGAAAGAATGCAAACGAGACTAATGACACGAAAAGTGAAAATATCCCAATGTCGACGTGATTTTTACTCGATGTAATCGTAATATTATATTTTACCAGATAAACGTTTATCTCTTGGAAAAGAGAGAGAGATAGAGAGAAAGAGAGAAAATGTTTGTGTGTATACGTTTCACCTCAGTAAAAATTTCCGCAAGTTTTTACTATGTAAATCGACAGATGCGAGAGATTTCGTTGCGCGAAAAACGATTTTGTCGTCTTGTCGTCTCAGGTGCGCGCTTTGCTCCTTTCACAAAATCAAATTGAACGATTGGTGCGCTCGAGAGAGAGAGAGAGAGAGAGAGAGAGAGAGAGAGAGAGAGAGAGAGAGAGAGAATGCACTCGAGCAAATATCTTAAAATACAGTCAAGATGGTTCGGGGGTGAATTTTCAAGAAATATTACATTTTGCACACGGGAGACAGAGCTCAAGAAATTCATTTCTTTCTCTCTTTCTGTCTATCTTTCTATATAATTGATTCATGGAATTTATATAAGTTCATGTAAATACGTTTTTAGTTAAAAACAAAATTGTGTGCGGGCATATGAGAAAACTTGTGAATTCCTCTCCAAGTACTTTTCTATCTCTTTCTCTGTCTCTCTCTCTCGCTCTCGCTCTCTTACCGATATAAATTTCTTATGACGTCACGTCTGGAAAGGAGTTTTTGAAGAAAAGTTTTTTTGCTGTGTGTAGATCGCGTGTAGCGAGGTCAGATCAACTGTGCGAGCGTACAATTTATATCGCAGACGAAAGAGATATGTGTGTGTGTGTGTATGAGAGAGAGAGAGAGAGAGAGAAAAAGAGAGAGAGAGAGAGAGAGATATGACATTCTACAGTATAATCTAACATCGTAGCAGCGAGGAAGCATTCGTTTCATAAAATCGCAAACTATTTCCGCTTGTATAGCATCCAGGACACGTACTGCGCTTCGTGGACAGGTGGAAGTTATTGCGCGCGTGCGAGAAGAACGGCTCTGTGCAAGAGAGTTGCTTTTGACGACGCATTAATGATCGACTCGGATTTCCGATGATATTTCATATCGCGCGTGACGTTAATTGGTTTGTTGTCGCAAAAGAGAGATCGTCGAAAAAAGACACTATCTCTGTTGCGCACCAACGCGCGCACACGTTGAGATTATTGTGTTTTACCTTACCAAAAGATACTTAATGAAAAAATCGAAGAATAAAATTTGTAGAAAAAAAATATAATACCAGCGTACAAAAATGTAATTCGCTCGTTAGTTAAGAGTATTACTGGTTGAGAATTACAGGTCTCTCTATCTCGTCGTTTGATAAGAGCGAAGCGGAATACATATTTCGCATAACAATGTGCGCAACACGGCTCCGTATAAATGTGAAACGTGCAAGAATGTATTTAGTTCCTCGGGGAGAAGGTATTAACTCCGTAATTTTTTAAAACAGATTGTCGAAGTTGAGCGACGCCACATTTTCACGTATACAAAATACTCAACAATGTTCGGCATCGCTCGTTGTTCGTGCCGCATCGCAAATTAATGTATCGATCGGAAAACTCCTTCGGAAACGGAACAGAAACGTTTTGTCAGCTCTCTCGTTTTCTTTTGAAAAATCGTTCACGTTTCAAACTATCATCGACGTTTTTATTTGCCCGACAGCAACGGGTCGATTACTTCATTAACGGGGGAGCGACAAAACACGCTCGCGCGACTAAACATTTATTTCCGTCCAACTTCTCTCGAAATCCGATAAAATCGCTCTTGGTTGGCGGTGTTACATAGCGAGAGTGGCCTGACTCACCGAGACCTGCTAGTAATTTCGTGGTGCGCGTTCGGTTCCTTTGAACAGAACGATCTAAATTACTTTCTTCTTTGTCGTCGTCGTCTTTCCGCAAATTCCGACCGACCCGCGACCCTTTCAGACGGCGAGTGAATTTACCGCTTCGCCATCGACAGTTTCGTTAATCCACCCCCCCCCCCTCTCTCATGGTGTGATATTCTCATGTATGAACGACCGGTCGGAATAGTAGCACCGTTGAAATTGCAAACTCTGTCAATTTTTTGACAAAGTTTAAATGTCTCTCTTCAAAGTCGCGCGTCGTTGCTAGCATTCAAATATTTGGACTTTAAGAGTTAAAATAAAATATGTTTTACGTGCTTTTAAAAAAATTGATGTTTTTATGGTTGTATATTTGTTACAATCGCGCAACAAGCTTTTCATTATTGCGGAAACTCGCGAATTTTCGGCGCAATTTGTTCGTCCGGAAAGCACAGAAATCGCATTTTATTCTCATTAAGACTGTCGTTGCGACGTTTATTCGTCCTTGGCATATAATATATACACGTACATTTGATAACAATAGAAATCCATTAACGTCGAGTAATTTTTGCGAAAAACAGATTTTTGCTTACAATCGATAAAGCTTATTTTCTCGGATACACACTCGATTTTTATCGTAAACACACACGAGACGACAGAAGCTATTTTCCGAATAATATCGTCGACTTTGGTGCGCGTCAACTTGACGATATAACGCCGAGTATATATTTGTCGTTAGTTGGCAGAGCGACCGAAATCGCGGGACCGAACCTGGTACGGTATTGCGTCAACATTTACGACCAGAGTCCGTGAGGACGAGGAAACTTAGTAAAACCCCCCGGGGGGACACGACAATCGATGTCAAACGCTAAGAAGCTACGCCGGGTTACCGGGGGGGGGGGGGATGGGGGGGATCAAGAGCAGAGAAACTCTCCCGCGGGGGTACGGTCTTTCGTTGTGAAGCGTAACCGACGTCGAGAACTCATAATTGGAGATTCCAACGAGAGACAAGCGTGCGTCAACAGTTGAGGTCATACTTGACCGCAAAACCACGTCGGTGCGCATGAAACGTGTATATGCAACGCGAAAACGTGTTCTTACGTATTCGACTCTCAATTAGTTAAATCAGCTTGCGATTTGCCGAAACAAGATTTGCTCAACTAAAAGCGTCGTGACCCCTCTTCTAAATTCTATTTAATCTCTCTGTCTCGCTAAAGTTTTATCGCGCCGCGAGAGATTTAACGATGCAAATAACGTCGATAGTCAAGTAATATAAAACATGCGAGAACACAAAATGTGGATTCAATTAAGTAAATACGTATACACCGGCAGCAAAAATGTTCTTATTTGCCGGCGATAATAATCGATAAAATGTCATGTACATATAAACGGCAGAAGCAAATAGCGCAGGCATGAAATCAATAAAATTGCGATAGAACGAGCGAAGAGAGCTGCCGGCATTTCGCGAGCGCAATTCGTTAGCGCGCGAAATACCGTCGGGATCTCGTTTATTGAAAACGCAACGGGGAATTCAGTTTTTTTTTTTTTTTTTTTTTTTT